TAATCCCAGCTACTTGGGTGGCTGAAGCAGGAAAATCACTTGAACTCTGGGAGGTGGAAGTTGCAGTGAACTGAGATCACGCCACTGCACTTCAGGCTGGGTGACAGAATGAGACTCTGTCTCAAAAACAAAACGAAACACCACAAAACAAAACAAAAACTCTGGTATGGTACTGGGCCTTAGAAACAGAATGGTGGACCATGACCCAGTGACTACGTAGCTGGAATTTCCCATCATGGTTTGAGTCCTCTCAGAACCACTAATTCTTAGGATCAGGGGTGCGCAGCAACACTCCATCCTAATGTTGATGTGATGTGGGCTGGGCGCGATGGCTCACACCTGTAATCCTGGCACTTTGGGAGGCCGAGGCGGGCTGATCACTTGAAGTCGGGAGTTTGAGACCAGCCTGGCCAACATGGTGAAACCTGGTCTCTACTAAAAATACAAAAATTAGCTGGGTGTGGTGGTGCACGCTTATAATCCCAGCTATTTGGGAGGCTGAGGTGGGAGAATCGTTTGAACCTGGTAGGCAGAGGTTGCAGTGAGCCAATAGAGTGCCACTGAACTCCAGACTGGGAGACAGAGAGAGACTTTGTATCAAAAAAAAAATATTGATGTGATATGTCTAGTATCAGTCAAGTAGAGCCAGAGGACCTGAGAAAGCTACATGAGCAGGTAGCCCAGACTCCCATGATCCCCAACATTGTAGAACCAATTGCTCTCCCTCAATTCATGCCTTTGTGTTTATGGGGAGTCTTCTATGGAGCCAAAGGAGGAGAAAAAAGCTTGTGCTTTTTTGCAGTAGGTCAGCTTAGTATACAGGTGTAGGAAACAAGTCGGCAATGGACAGCATTACTCTGAGATAGTCTTGAAAGACAATGATGAAGGGAGAACTTTGGGTGGTACACACGGTGATCCACTTTGTGTAGAAAGAACAGTGACCTTAAACTAGCATATACATATATAGACTAACGGCAGTGGCAGATGTCCTGACTGGTCAGGGGTCTGGAAGGAAAAGTAGGCTGGGCCCGGTGGCTCACTCCTGTAATCCGAGCACTTTGGGAGGCCGAGGTGGGCGGATCATGAGGCCAGGAGTTCGAGACCAGCCTGGCCAGCATGGTGAAACCCCATCTTTACTATAAATACAAAAAGCTAGCTGGGCATGGTAACGCGTGCCTGTAATCCCAACTACTTGGAAGGCTGAGGCAGGAGAATTGTTTGAACCCGGGAGGCGGAGGTTGCAGTGAGCCAATATTGTGCCACTGCACTCCAGCCTGGGCAACAGAGTAAGATTCCATCACAAAAAAAAAAAAAAAAAGAAAAAGAAAGAAAGAAAAATATTAGAAGATTGGAGAAAAAGAGATTGAGGTAGAGCCATGTGAATGGACATATGGAAGTGGGCCTGAAGTTTGAAGATCTTTGTGTCACATGTTAATGCCCACCAGAGGACATCTGCTAAGAAGGCTTTACATAGCAAAAAAGACAAAAATGACTCGGCCAAGTGAGCTTAGCCAGCTTCTGTTACCCTCCACTCCAGCACTAAGGGCACATGAATGAAGCTGCCACTGCGGCAGAGACAAGGCTGCCCATGGGTCATCCATGTGGACTCCCACTCACCAAGGCTGATCTAGTTACTGCCCCAGCCAAATGTCCAGCTTTCCACTAAGAAAGACCAGCTCAGAGCTCTGGATATGGTACTATTCCTTGAGGAAACCAATGGGCCAGCTGGTGGAAATCTGACCACATTGAACCCCTTCCGTCCTGGAAAGTCCAGAGGTTCGTTCTCATGGGAATAGGTACATATTCCAGGAATAGCTTTTGCCTTTCTTGCCCACTGCACTCCAGCCTGGGCGACAGAACAAGACTCTGTCTTAAAAAAAAAAAAAAAAAAAGAAATACACCAAATAATTCTTTCTGAGAGTTGACAATTATTATTGTTATTATTTTTGAGATGGAGTTTCACTCTTGTTGCCCAGGCTGGAGTACAATGGTGTGATCCCAGTTCACTGCAACCTCCACCTCCCAGGTTCAAGTGATTCTCCTGCCTTAGCCTCCCAAGTAGCTGGGATTATAAGCATGTGCCACCACTCCCGGTTAATTATATATTTTTAGTGGTGATGGGGTTTCTTCATCTCGGTCAGGCTTGTCTCAAATTCCTGACCTCAGGTGATCCTCCTGACTCAGCCTCCCAAAGTGCTAGGATTACAGGCGTGAGCCACCGTGCCTGGCCAGAGAGTTGACAATTATTTAGTATTGAAGTATGTATACAGGTACATGTAACTAGAAGTTGTCGCCCATGCTGGAGTGCAGTGGTGCAATTGTGGCTCACTGCAACCTCCACTTCCTGGGCTCAAGCGATCCACCTCAGCCTCCTGAGTAGCTGGGACTACAGGCATGTGTCACCACACCCAGCTCATTTTTGTATTTTTTGTAGAGACGGGGTTTCACCATGCAGGCCGGTCTCAAACTCCTAGGCTCAGAGATCTGCCTGCTTCAGCCTCCCAAAATGCTGGGATTACAGGTGTGAGCTACCCCGCCCAGCCTAGAAGTTCTAATTGCACATGTGCAGTTTTGTTTTATGTTAATTTCCTCATCGGGTTAACAGTTAAAATAATTTTTTCCTTTTCATTTTGAAATAACGTTAAGCTTACAGAAAAATTGCAAGACAAGTGCAAAAAAATTTTGTTTTGCCTTGAGCCATTTAAGAGCATTTTGCTAACAACAAGCCCTGTGGCCCGTGAGACTACTTTACTGTGTGGATTTCCTACACACAGCGACATTCCCTTACGTAAGTGTAATACAACCATCCAAACTAGGACACTGATAATGATGCTTTACTACGATCAAATCCATGTACTCCATTCAAGTTTCACCAATCGTCCCAATAATGTCCTTGCAAAAGAATCCAACCCAGGATCACACGCTGCTTTTGGTTTTCATCCCTTTTTAGTCTTCTTTAGTCTGGAACAGTGCCTCAGTGTTTGCTCTACTTTCACGACCACTTTTGAAGATAACAGGCCAGTTATTTCATAGAATGTCCCTTGATCTGGGTTTGTCTGATGTATCTTCCTGCCTAGATTCAACATAGTGAAGATATTTATATCAAATGAAAACCATAGGCTGGGAGCGGTGGCTCACGCCTGTAATCCCAGCACTTTGGGAGGCCAAGGCGGGTGGATCACTCGAGGTCAGGAGTTCGGGACCAACCTGGCCAACATGGCGAAACCCCATCTCTACTAAAAATACAAAAATTAGCTGGGTGTGGTGGTGTGTGCCTGTATTCCCAGCTATTCAGGAGGCTGAGGCGGGAGAATTGATTGATCCCAGGAGGCAGAGGTTGCAGTGAGCAGAGATTGTGCCACTGTACTCCAGCCTGGGTGACAGAGCCAGACTCTGTCTCAAAAAAAAAAAAAAAAGAAAGAAAAAGAAAAAGAGAAAACCATGAATCTACCCCCGATACCTTCAATTCCAGTCTGATGCCCCAGGGTTTATTCTATATTGATTCTTTCATTTTAAATAGAAACTTAGCTCCATCGTTCTCAAATATTTACTTATTTGATCAATCTCTTGCTTGCCCTCCATGAACCGTTTCCTCACCTGGCTTGGACTCTGACATTCCCAGCTGGGCAGCTACAGCCTCCACCCCAGCTTTCCTAGAGAAACGCTCCTCAGGCTTGGGCTCCAGCGCCCCACTCTTTCCACTGCCTCTCCACACCAGGGACGCCCTCTTCATTCTGCTCGGGCTTTCACACTCTGAGCCCAGCCGTGAAATGGAACTTTTTACAACCAAAAGATTAAGAATGTGCACTATAAATGGTGACGCTGGTGAAATCAGTCTCATGTCTTCATATAGGCATGAGGACCAAATTAACTATATTCTGAACTTAGTTGGGGTTCTAAATGGACCTGCTGGCTATGCATGGTGGCTCACACCTGCAGTCCCAGCACTTTGGAACACTGAGGTGGGCAGATCACTTGAGCCCAGGAGTTCAAGGCCAACCTGGGGCAACATGGCAAAACCTTGTGTCTACAAAAAATACAAAAAAATTAGCAGAGTATGGTGGCACATTCCTATAGTCCCAGCTACTAGGGAGGCTGAGGCAGGAGGATTGCTTGAGCCAGGGAGGGTGAAGCTTCGGTGAAGCGTGATTGGGCCATTGTACTCCAGGCCGGGTGACAGAGTAAGACCCTGCCTCAAAAACATAAATATAAATAAATGAATCGATAAAAGTACTTCTATGTTTCAATATTTAATCTACTTGGAACTTATTTTGTATGACATAAAATGGAGGTCCAATTATTTTCCTGATAGATAACAGCGTCATCATTTATTATATAATCCATCCATTTCCCACTGATTTAAAATTGCACTGTTCACATGTTTTTTCTTTTGTTATCATGAATGGGATTAGTGCCTTTATAACTGTTCACATTTTATGTTCTTATAAACAGATATCTATTCCTGGATTCTCTCTCTCTCTTCTTTTTTTTTTTTTGAGATGGAGTCTCGCTCTGTCACCCAGGCTGGAGTACAGTGACGCAATTTCGGCTCACTGCAAACTCCGCCTCCCGGATTCAAACTCCGCCTCCTGCCTCAGCCTCCTGAGTAGCTGGGACTACAGGCGCGCTCCACCACGCCCTGCTAATTTTTTGTATTTTTAGTAGAGATGGGGTTTCACCGTGCTAGCCAGGATGGTCTCGATCTCCTGACCTCATGATCCGCCCACCTCAGCCTCCCAAAGTGCTGGGATTACAGGCGTGAGCCACCGTGCCCCGCCTGGATTCTCTTTTCTCTTCCACTGGTTAATTTGTCTATGCCCAGGCCAACATTGCCTTGATGCTCTTGTGGTGTCTTTATAGTGGCTTCTGAGATCTAGTAAGCCAAGATCTAGTACACCCTTAGCGCACCTCTTCCTACATTTATTTGCTATTTACGAGTACTTTATTCTTTCCAAACAAATTATGAGATAATTTAATCCAATTAAAAATAAACCTGCTGGATACTATGACAGTTGCATAGTTCAACAGACTGAATCATGAAGAGATGTATACTATCTGTCTGATGTATCTGGGGTGGTTGGGGAAGAAACACATGTTGGGATTGTATTGGAATCTTTTTCTTTTCTTTTCTTTTCCTTTGCCCCAGCTGCTGGGATAAAATAGGAATTTTATCAATTGTATGTAAATTTGTAGAGCTGTACTTTTTGTGATAGTGTCTTGATATTCACAAAAGAAACAATGAAGGTCATACAATGCTTGCTCATTATTCAGATCTTGATTCATTTATTTCCCCAACACACATATTTGAGCACCTACTATAGGCTAGGCACTATTCTAGATGCTGGGGGTTCAACTGGGAACTAAGTTCCTGCTTTTTTGAAAAAGCCCAAACTTTAGTAGGGGCAGACAGGTAATAAACAAATATAAACACACACACACAGAGATATATGTGTAAATAAATATGTAATATGTCAGATGGTATTAAATACTATGGCAAAAACTAAATCCAGTTAAAGGTGATATAGCATGCTAGGAGGAGGGCTGTTTTTTATTTAGCGCAAAAGCTGATGTGGTGATATTTGAGCACAGATATGAAGGACATGAAGGATTCATCCGTGCGTTCCAGAGGTGGGAGTGTGCTTGGTGTGTTCTGCCGGCAGAGGAAGAGCAGGCAGCCCAGCATGGCTACAGCAGGGTGAGAATCGGGGAGAGGGGCAGGAGGTGGAGGCAGAAAGGTAGCTGGGAGGTGCTGTACCAGGTAGAGCCATGGAGACCACTGCGAGTACTGTGGCTAAATATCAGGGAGAAGGGAAATTATCCTGAATCTGGAGCAGAGGAGTGACATGGTCTGATGAAGCTCTTAATGAATCATTCCGATGGACAGGAGTGGAAGCAGGGAGGCCAGTTAGGACTCTGGCTTTGTCTTGCCTGAGATGAGGATGGCTGGGAGGAGGGTGGGGGCGAGGGGGTGAGGGATGGGGGATTCTGATCTGCCTGGCTCACGTGCCACCACAGACCACCAGAGGGCGCTACACATACGTCCTTGGTGAGGCTGAGCTGTGACAGCCAGTCCTTCCCTCACCCTCCCCAAATGACAGGTTGTAATACCTCCTTGTACACTAACCACTCCGCCCGTTTTGCTACTAGAATTTAGATTCTGTTCTAGACTATGGCGTGCCCAGCCTCAAAAGATGAACCACGGTAGGACAAGCACCACCTGAGTGTCCGCGGTTGCGGTCATCTATCTAATGTCAGTCTTCCTTTGTTTCTCCTATCTCTCCATCAACCTCTCCTGCACACTGACCTGCATCAACTGGTGCATTAATGTAGTCTGGGAAAACAGCTTTGCTGAATGTGACTGGGAGTTCCTTTCTTTGCCATTATTTCTAATGGGAACACTGCCTTTTAAAGCCTATAGTGCTGAATGAAAAGAATGTTTTTAGACTGGGTGAGGTGGCTCATGCCTGCAATCCCAGCAATTTGGGAGGCTGAGGCAGGTGGATTGCTTGAGCCTGGGAGCTCAAGACCAGTCTAGGAAACATAGCAAGACATCATCTCTATAAAAAATACAAAAATTAGCCGGCGTGATGGTATGCACCTGTAGTCCCAGCTATTCAGGAAGCTGAAGTGGGAGGGTCACTTGAGCCCAGGAAGTTCAGGTAGCAGTGAGCCAAGATTGCACCACTGCACTTCAGCCTAAGTAACAGAACAAGACCCTGTCTCCACAAAAATACAAAAATTAGCCGGGCATGATGGCGGGTGCCTGTAATCCCAGCTACTTGTGAGGCTGAGGTGGAAGAATCGCTTGAACCCGGGAGGTGGAGGTTGCAGTGAGCCAAGATCATGTCACTGCACTGCAGCCTGGGCGACAGAGCAAGACTCTGTCTCAAAAAAGAAAAAAAAGATACCCACACGTGGCTAGTGTCTGCTGTATTGGAAAGGGCAGGTTTACAGTGTGTGGAAGAATGTCTTATCATCTCCCCAGTATTCACGCTTCTCTCTTTCATTATAGAACTTCTCCTCCAAGTTTAACAATGCACATGAATATGCAGCTTGAGGCACCATTTCCCAACCTCACTCAGTTAGGTGTGGCCATATGTGTTTGTTTTCTAGTGCAGTGTGACAAGTGACCACAGACATAGCAACTTAAAACAACACCCACTTATTATCTCAGAACTTTGTAGGTCAGAAGTCTGGGCTTGGCCGGGTTCTCTGCTCCGGGTCCCACAAGGCTGAAAGCAAGGTGTCCAAGGGCTGGGCTCTTGTCTGGAGGCTCTGGGGAAGAACCTACTTCTAGACTCATTTGGGTTGGCAGAATCCAGTTCCTTGTGGCTGTAGATCTGAGGTCCTGGTTCCCACCTGGCTGTGAGCAACGGGAGCTACTCTTTGCTCCCAGAGGCTGCTGGGATACTTCATGGGGTCCCTACATCTTCTCTTTTTTTTTTTTTTTTTTTTTGGACAGAATCTCACTCTGTTGCCCAGGCTAGAGTGCAGTGGTGCTATCGTGGTTCACTGCAACCTCTGCCTCCTGGGTCCAGGCGATTCTCCTGTCTCAGCCTCCCAAGTAGCTGGGATTACAGGCGTGCACCACCGCAGCCAGCTAATTTTTGTATTTCTAGTAGAGATGAGGTTTCATCATGTTGGCCAGGCTGGTCTTGAACTCCTGACTTCAGGTGATCTGCCCTCCTTGGGATTATAGGTGTGAGCCACTGCACCTGGCTGGTCCCCTATGTCTTCTTACCAGCCTTGGTGCAGTGTCTTTCTCGTGCCTGGAATCTCTCTGATGGTTAGTTTTAGGTGTCAACTTGACTGGATTAAGGAAAACCTAGAAACCTACTAAAGCATTATTTTGAGTGTCTCTGGGAAGATGTTTCCAGAGGAAATTAGTGTGTGAGTCTCAGTGGACTGGGTGGGGGACATCTGCCTGCAATGTGGGTGGGCACCATTCAATCTGTTGGGGGCCTGGAGAGAACAAAACCTGGGGGAAAATTTCGTATGTGCTGATCTACCTGCTGGAGCTGCGATACGCTCTTCCTCTCCTGTCCTAGGATAAGTAACTCCAGACTTCTCAGCCTTTGGATTACAGGACTTACGTCGGTGGCCCCCCTCCCTGAGATCTCAGGCCTTTGGGCTTGACCTGAGAGTTACACCCTTGGCCTCCCTGGTTCTGAGGCCTTCAGACTTGAATTGAGCCACGCTACCAGCATCCCAGGGGCTCCGGCTTGCATATGGCTCATTGTGGGACTTCTCGGCTGCCATAATCACAGAAGCCAATTCCTCTAATGAATCTCCTCTCAGCCGGGTGCACTGGCTCACATTTTTTTGTTTCCCAGTGCATGTAAAAGTTATGGTTACACTATAGTGCAGTAGTCTATTACGTGTGCAATAGAATTCATCATGTCTAAAAAAACAAGGTACACACCTTCATTAAAAATACTTTTAATGAAGTATTTTTAAATACTGGGTGTGGTGGCTCATGCCTGTAATTTTGGCACTTTGGGAGGCAGACACAAGAGAATCAGTTGAGCCCAGGAGTTCAAGACCAGCCTGGGCAACCTAGTGAGACCCTGTCTCTTAAAAAAAATGATCTATCTATCTATCTATCAATCATCTGTGTATGTATGTATGTATGTATGTATGTATGTAAGTATCTACCTATCTATCTACTATCCATCCATCCATCCATCCTTCCTATTGGTTCTGCCTCTCTGAAGAATCCTAATACGCTCCCTTTCTTCCCCTTCTGCCCAGCAGCCAGAAACACTATGATTTTCAAGGGCTTGTGATTAGATTACGCCACATGGATAATCCTTTTGCTTTATAACAGAACATAATCACAAGAGTGAGATCTTGTTGATTTCTACCTACCCCCGAAGAGGAAGAAAGGGATTATACCAGGGCAAGGATTGTAGGGAGAATTCTTAGAATTCTGCCTACTATGCCATGTGATTAAATTCTAGTCAAAAAGTTAACAGCAACTCTGTTCTTCCAGTTGCTCAGGTCAAAATACGGGGGGCCACCTTGGCCTCTCACTTCTCACACTTCACTGGTTAGTCAGCAAGTTCTGTCAGCTCTGCCTGAAAAACACACTCAGCATTCAAGCACTTCCCACGCCCTTCTACTTTGTGATGCTGGGCAGGTCACCATAATCCCTCATGTGGATTAGTGTAACTTCCCAGCTGGCTTTTCTCCTCAGCATTCTGTTCTTTTTTTTTTTTTAGATGGAGTTTTGCTGATGCCCAGGCTGGAGTGCAGTGGCGTGATCTCAGCTCACCGCAACTTCCGCCTCCTGGGTTCAAGTGATTCTCTTGCCTCAGCCTCCCGAGTAGCTGGGATTACAGGCATGTGCCACCACGCCCGGCTAATTTTGTATTTTTAGTAGGGATGGGGTTCCTCCATGTTGGTCAGGCTGGTCTCGAACTCCTGACCTCAGGTGATCTGACTGCTTCTGCCTCCCAAAGTGCTGGGATTACAGTCATGAGCCACCACACCTGGCACATTCTGTTCTTAATATAACAACCAGAGTGATCCTGATACAGCATATGCCAAACTATGTCCCTTAGCACTGTTCAGTGGGTCTCTATCTCATAATAAAGACCAGAATCCTTAATATGGACCACACGATCCTACTTTGGTCTCCGTATTAGGTTTGTGACCTCAAAATCCTATCACTCTTCTGACGGGGTGTGGTGGTTCATACCTGTAATCTCAGCACTTTGGGAGGCCAAGGTGGGCGGATCACTTGAGGTCAGGAGTTCAAGACCAGCCTGTCCAACCGGCAAAACCCCGCCTCTACTAAAAATACAAAAATTAGCTGGCATGGTGGCACACATCTGTAATCCCAGAAATTTGGGAGGCCGAGATGGGCAGATCACTTGAGGTCGGGAGTTCAAGACCAGCCTGGCCAACATAGTGAAACCCCCATCTTCACCAAAAATACAAAAACTAACTGGGCGTGGTGGTGTGTCCCCCTCAGGAGGCCAAGGCACGAGAATCGCTTGAACCTGGGAGGTGGAGGTTGCAGTAACCTGAGATTGAGCCACTGCACTCTAGCCTGGGTAACAGAGTGA